GTAAGCATTTGAAAACAATTTAATTGGCAATATAGTTGAAAATATAGAAAATCCCTTTTGGTAGTAAAAACAGTTAATAGTGTAGAAGATCCTTTTGGTTGCAAGTTATAATTCACACGTGATTGTTACTATAACTTATTGGTTCAACTTGTATCCCCCCCCCCCCCCATAAAACAGTTAAAAACATTTAAAAAGGTTCATTTAGGGGTATGAACTCACCTATTGTGAGTGAAGTGGATGAAAACGCCGGGTAGGATGCTAGGTGTCAAGTGAGGACTTGAACACACCACGGATCCTATGTAACATGTAGTGATGTATAAAGTATCTAATTAGTTGTGTAATCACTAATTAAGTGAGTAAAGGCACTTCAATGTATGAAAACACTTTGTTTCAAGTGTTAGGAGTGCTAAGGGTTGCATCTAAGGAGTGTATGGCCTCACTATGGAGTTTACACTTCACTTGGCCACACTTAGGTGTGTTTACGGTTGGGAGACCATTTCCCCCATGAGTTTACGGCCGTAAACTCATGGAAATGGTGAGTTTGTGTGTCTAAAGGTCTCATGCATCACAAGGAAGGCTTCTAGGATCAATTCAAAGGCTTGGGAAGTGATTAGGGTTCAAATGGGTACTCCCTTGGAGTTTACGGTCCTTGGACCACTCCTTGGGAGTTTACGGTCGTAAACTCTAGGGTTTACGGCCGTAAACCCTTGACCACTCCAACCATTTCATGTTTCAAGGTCCTAAGCTCATTTACACTAGTTTCTAGTTCATCAAACAAGCTAAGGAAGGGTTTAGGGGCATCAAAACACCATTTGAGGTGTTTACGGTTTTGGGTTTACGGTTTTTGAATGTTCAAGAACCGTAAACTCAAGTTTATGGCCAAAAAGTCATGATCTTGAGTTCCTTAGTCCATGCATACAAGTATCTAAGCTATATCTAAGCATTAGAGAAGGTTTGGAAGTGTTTTGGGGCTTCAAAACCCTCACATAGGAGTTCACGGTTTTGGGAGGCTCCCCAAACCGTAAACACATGCATGTTGAGGCATTTGGATGATCCAACTCGAAATAGGATGAATACTAAGCTAGAAAATTCAAGTTAGGAAGATTACCTTTGATTTTTGAGGCTTGAAAGTGGTGTTCTTGAGCCAAACCCGATTTTTAGAGAGAGAAAGTAGAGAGAGAAAGCTCCAAGGTGGGAAAAAGGCTCTAAAGGTGGACACTCCTCCTTTATATATGGCTGCCTAGTGGGGACCCACCATACACTGTCGTTTAAACGGAGCTAAATGTTTTTACCGGGTAAACTAACCGTAACCCGACTTAGTTGTTTTTATCCCGTCATTATATATTATTTATTTTAATAACTCAAAATGAATTATTTTAATAAATAAAAGTTAACGGAAAATTTTAATAGACTAACTTTTATTAACGGAAACGGGTTACAGTGACGGAGCAAACTTCGGGTTGTCACATATAACATGCTGAGCAAGGTGTGTAAGATTTACACTTAGTAGTTTCAATGTCATTTTCGTTGAAATACAAAGTCATGCATATCAAGGTTTCATTAAATCATAACACGCAATTGATAAACTATAATAGGTATAGTTCGAACACCTCATTTAACAAAGAAATGGTAATATAATCGATTTACAAAACGGGTATTTCATTACAAACAACGTGAACTTGTTAATGAATAAATTTGTGAGACATTCACCTTCAGGGTACTCTTAAGTACCACAGAAAAGTCATGTAGTTATAATCAGAATCTCTTGGAGGGAGAGCGTGATAGTTGTGTATAGATCTATATTGGGTCTGACAAACCCGCACCTAAGCTGCTTGCAACAGCTAGACCGGCAGGTCTGGGTTGACAAGTGTCATAACATTCCGACGCCTGAAGAACATCAAGTACGAGGTCTTCGAGTTTTAGCATGGTTATAACATCTCATATGGGGAATTAACAAAACACACAGTTCACGGGGATTTAAGGAGTTTTATTTAAATATAAAACCACACACACAAGTATGACGATTTACTTACATATACTAAGTCTTGGTTCAGTTAAGACTACAACAAACCTTTAGAAAGTATTGGATTTTCTGGAAACAAACTTATAACAAACTTAAAGGAACTACATTCATTTTTCATTCATAAATTGCTTATGAACTCACCAGCTTTATGCTGATACTCTTTCAAAACAACTTGTATTCTCAAGTATTCAGTAATACAGGTAACCACAAGATTTTTGAAGGCAAGACGCTAAGGCGCATATTTCCTTTGAACTATTTTGACATCATATGTAATTTATTTGGAAACATGTATTTTTTTGCAATGATGTAGCCTTTTAAATTATATTTATGATGGTTGTGTTTACTTTCTTCACTATGGTTATGATACTAAGCATGACGTCCTCCGCCCCCGAACGTTTCCGCCGTTCCGGTTTGGGGGTGTGATATATATATATATATATATATATATATATATATATATATATATATATATATATGTCGACATATTGTGTTGGGTTGAGGTTGTACTGCTTTGTACGGTAGCCAACAAACCCGGAGCAATCCAGACATAAGCTGTGGGCCCTGAGGGCATTCCAAACTTATGATGTGGGCTCGGGAGCAATCCAAACATAAGTTGTGGGCACCAAGGGCATGTCAGACTTATGTTGAGGGCTCGGGAGCAATCCAGATATGAGTTGAGGGATCGATAGGCATGCCAGACTCATACTGTGGGCTCAGGGGTAATCCAGTCTTTTAAGTTGTGGACCCAGTATATGCCGTTATATGTATGTATGTGTTAGTACTTTGGGGGAACTCACTAAGCATTGGCTTACAATTCTAGTTTATTGTTTCAGGTACTTCTGATGATCGTGGGAATGCAAATGCGTGATTGTGCACATCTCCCTGTTTTATGTTTTATGTCACTGGGTCTTGAGCAAAAACTCTGATTTTGAAATAATGTTTTTGAAACAATGACTCTTTTTGTAAACAATATTGGTTAATGGTTGATTTTGAAAATTTTAAATTTCATTGATTTTTGGGATGTTACACATATAATTTAAAAACAATTAGACATAATTAACTATAATAATAATAATAATAACAACAACAACAACAAATAACAACAAATAACAACAAATAACAATAAAAACAATAAAAAGTCGAATAAAAAAGATTTTTGAAATAAAAAGCATATAAAGGATATCAAGGGTCTATAAAAATTTATATTAAATGAAAATACATATGGAAACGCTTTTTTAAATTCTAATAACATAGTCATTTGACATGCACAAGGTTCTAAATAATGTAAGGCGTGACTTGGCGGCAATGTCAAACCTCAAGTTTCTACGAGTCTTGACGAGCAATGTCGTTTTGTAAGGCATGACATAAGGCGACAATTTTGTATATAATTGATAATTTTATATGTATTTTCAACTATTATTCGTTTTTATATGCATATATGACGCGCCATGACGAAGTCATAACGAACATTTTAGAACAACATGCACATGATTATTTTTGAAAGGCCATTTTGGTTTTCTTTTTTGCTTTCATTTGATTTCCTTCATCTTGCCTATTTTCTTTAAACTCCTCCATGTTTAAATCAAGAATCACATCTAAATCCACGATTAAACCAATTGTCAACCCGAATGACATCTAAATCCACGATTAAACCAATTGTCAACCCAAAAATCAATATGGAAACCAAAGTGGATTTAAAATTTTGAAATATAACTAAATAGAGTAAAGTATTAATTTTTCCTTGGGTTATTCTTTAATATCTAGGCTTAAGTGATAATTTAATAATCAAGAGTAAATGATATCTTATTTAAGTGTTACACCTACATGATTAATTAAAGGGTTTTATACAAAAAAAAATCTCATTATTTTGGGAAAAATTTTAATAAAGTCTTACATCTTTTTGTTTAACGGAAAAACCCCGATTATTTAACATTTTGTCAAAATTAACGAAAAATGTCCATTTTTTTATTTTAACAAGATCATCAGTAAGATGTACTTTGAGATTTAGGTGATCTTGTTTTCAACACCTACATTATTTTTATGGTAAATGTCATTGTTTGAAAATGAATTAGGAATGATATTTTTTATGAACCATCGTTTCTTGTTTGTTTATGTCTTTACATATCTTCATTTCATTTATGTTGGAAGTTGAAGAAATTTAAAAATTTAGCGTCAAAATTGCAAAATATTGAAATCTTAGTGTCAAGATCGCAAAAAATTAAAAACATAGTGTCTTTTGCCCTACATTTTTCAATTTTCTCCACGTCAGCATGTAACCGGTTGATCTGAAGTTAACCAGTCAAAATTATAAAAAAATTGAATACAAAGTGTCAAAATCGAAAAAAAATAAAAAGTTAATGACTTTGTGTCATTTACCCATTTAAAAACCAATGAAATGTTTTACTTTTATACCATTCATTTTAATTGAAAAGATAATCAAAAATATATAAATCAAAAACAAAAATTAATTGATGACTTGATTTATTAAAAATACAAATACAAATATCACCCGGTAGCTTTTACCATAACCACAATAAACCCTAAAAAATAGTGATGACAAATCAGGGTGTGTTTGGGTTAGCTTAAGAAAAAGCTGTTTTTAAAAAATGTTTGGATAAGAAAAACTGTTTTTTAAGGATAACAGGCTAAAAAGCTAGGATTTTTAATTTTTTAAAAGTTTTATTTTATTATCCAAAAAACTGTTTTAAAAAAGACTTTTTAAATAAACAAATAATTTTTAGCTTATTAAACAAAGACCAGTCCGATGAGTGAAACTGTAGGGTGATTAGTGCAATTCATCAAAAGCTTGAAACTGATAAATAAGTAAATAACGACATAACCACCAATCAGCCAAAGCCAATTGTTCCAAACTTTGTGAATCTTTTTAGTTCATCCAATTCGTTTTTAGCTTCTTGTTCTTTTCGTTGATCGGCGACTTCCGTTATAAGAGCAATAATCGCATTGAACTAATCATTCTATGGCGTCGGCGAATTCCCTTACAGCAGGTAGGCAGCTGTGGTGGCGCTGGCGGCGGTTGGTAACGCTAACGCAAACGGCGGTAGTAATCATAATGTGTTTGTTTACGGCAGTCTATTAGCCGACGACGTTGTTCGTGTTCTCCTCCGCCGCATCCCTCAAAATTCTCCTGCCATCCTTCACGGCTAGTCAGTCTCTCTCTCTTCTCTCTCTCAGTGATTCGAATTTTGATTTGTTGATTGTATTTAAATTTCTTCTTCATATGACTCTGGATGTTACGTTTTAATCGATTAGAAGCCCTAAATTTATCTAGGTTTAAATCGATTCCTGCAATCGTAGTTATTCTTTGGAAATTGGGCTATTGTTCAAGAGTTAAAGCTTCTAGCTGAGGTTAATTTGATCATATTATGCTAATATTAAAGTAGCCCTCACTTATGCGGATCAATTTTTTTTATCTGTTTGCGTTTGTTATACATATACTTCGTGTATCACAAAGAAATGCAAAGTTTAACAGTATATAATTTAGATAAATTTTTTGGACAAATAAATGACAAAACTAACAACACAAGTTTTCAAAATGTTGAGAATAGAAGCAATGAAGCAGGCTGTATTATTGTATATAGGCTTCTGATATATAATTGAACTCTACATTTGTTATATTCATCAACTAACATATGAATAACATGACCTTTTATAGCATGGATTTGTATTTTTACACACTCATGTATGAATTATGAAAACTTGTTTTTGTAGTCATAGGTTTAGCATCAAAGGGCGTGTTTATCCTGCCATTCTACCTGTAGAAAACAAGAAAGTTACAGGGAGGGTATGTTTGTCATTTATTTCATGTAATCTTCTCGATTTTATGCTCATTTCATCATTCTATTTGTTTTGCTGTAGGTTTTATTGGGGATCACTCTTCCAGAATTAGAAATTCTGGATAAATTTGAGGATTTTGAATATGAAAAGAGGGTTGTTGATGTTTCGTTAAAGGTAATTATACAAAATGGTAGACAAAAACCACTTACATTACAAATTTACAAGAGT